AAACGACATAAGAAAATCCTTAAAGATTTTACCGTATCTATAATCTCTTATCTCTCTCTCTTATTGACTTTTGATCATAAAAATTAACTCCAATAAATTTTTTTATATCATTTCAACTTATTGACTTTTGATCATAAAAATTAACCCCAATAAATCTTTTTAAAAAAAGGTAAAATAAGGCTACTGAGTTTTTTAGTTGAAATGATATAAAAAGATTTGTTGAGGCTAATTTTTGTGGTCAAAATTCAATAAAAGATGGAGATAAAAGGTAAAGGGTATGGTCAAATCTTCCTTACACCGCTTGAAAAAAAAAAAGAATGAAGTTCTATCATGAAATAATATGAAAAATTAGAGTTCTATATGAAATGAAATAATATGAGAAATTAGAGTTCTATATGAAATTCTCCCTTCCCAATAAATATATGTATATATATATTAATATGATAGTAAATAGGTGAAAAAAAAAAAAACCATAGGCCATGGACCCAAGCAGATCCAAGACCCATCGGGAGAACCTGAAGACCCGATACGTATAGGCACAGGTCGAACTTTTGGATCCAATGGGGCAAGTCTGGATCCAAAACCTCGACCCAAATATATTTGGTCGAGCCGAACTCGACCCATACCTGACTTGTTGCCGCCCCTAAGCTAATGCAATCAGGTGAGAGACAGGGAGACCGTTCAGCGACGGATCCGAACGTAGCATGAGCCAAAAGTAAGGCTTGGGCAGTCGCCTGTTGTATTTTGTGTAATAATTAGCATTCTCACCGCAATAATTAATGCCAAAACATATTCTCCACCCTCAGGAGTATGATGTTCAATTACTCCATGTTTAGGCCTCCAAATTTGTGAAGATATAGCGTCTTTAATCCATAGATTAACTTTAATAAAAAAAATATGTTTTTTGAAGCCTTTAGCATAATTAAAATAAAAGAAATACATCTAAATCCAATAAAAAAAGAGCTTAGAAAGAAAAAGAAAAAAAATCAAATTTCATTCTTTTGATTTGTAACATTTGTTTGAGTTAGATTACAAACATGAAATCCTTCAAAAAAGGTGTGATACCTCTAACATTATAAAAAATAATGGATACACAAAAAGACAAATCAAAAAAATATTAGATTGGGCATAGGAATAAAAAAGCCACAATTTTCACTTAGGAATTCGTTGATTTGGAATAATTTCATAATTATTCTATACAAATATAATAAAGGAATAAAACCCCAAAAACAAACAAATTTCAATAAAATCGGAAAGACTCTTGGCTGATTTTGATCACGATTTACGATTCTCATTGGAATCAACATGAAATCAGCTTTATAAAAGACACCAAATATAAAATTAACCATGAACAAAATACATTTTTCTATCAAGTTAATGCTTTAATGCTAAAATAAAAGGAAAAAAAATGTAATTTTATATGAGGGTACACATACCTGCGAAACTATTAAAAGATCTTATTCCGAACCAGCCAGAAGTAGATAATATTGAAGAAAAGAAAGTCTGTCTAAGAACCTGTAGCACTGAAATTTCGGCAATACATGCGTCCATAGTTGCTCTCTGTGTCTTATGAGAAGATATGTTGTTGGGATGTTTTACTATCATTGGGACACATGTTTAGGGGGGCAATGGACCTGAACCCGACCCAGACCCGCCGGATACACCCGATACGGGTTTGGGTATGGGTCCAACATTTTGACCTGGCGGGTTGGGTTCGAGTCCAAAACCTAGACCCGAACACTATTCAGGTATGGGTCTGGTTCCGGTTGGACCCAACCCGTACCCAGAAATTGTTGGAGATAAAATACTTTAAGCCATGTTCGTTTGGGTGTATTAAGGATCGTATACAATAAGACTTGTACTCATCTTTAGCTACTAAATGACAAATTAGAAGACTTAAAATCTAATGATGAGTGATTGTGACCTTGTTGCCAATAACATAGGTATACGATAGTAAAAGAAAAAAAAAACTCATAGTGAAGGTAGCAATGGACCTAAGACCCGACGGGTACAAATATAGGTCCAATTTTTAGGTGCAAATACTTTCGGGTCTGGGTCTGGATCCAGCTGGACCCGATCCATACCGGAACCATTGCCACTCCTACACATGTTGACATTTGAACAGCTAAAGCATAGGGATATAGCTCGCAGCAATATAGCTCCATGGTCTTCTCAATAAGGGGAGATTTTCATTGTGCTGTTGTACAGTAGGGAAATGTAGAGGCAATGACAAACTTCAAAGAAGAAAGCAAGGGATTGTTCTTCTACGTGATGGACAAATTGTATTTAGAATACATCGATTGGCTTACTAAAAACGGTTTGATTAAGGCCATGTAGAGATTAAACATCATCCACAAAATCAAAGGTTCTTTTCGGTAAAAATTGTGAAGTTTTTGTCATATGTTTTTACATGCATATTTTGTTTATGATGCACAATTACATTATTCATTTTCTTGAAGGCCTTCAATCTTTAATAAGTTTTACGTATGTATGTCATTATGACGTACATTACAATATCCATCTTTTCGATATATTTTTTTGAGTAATTCAGTAGAGATGACGAGCCCTTACCCGTTTTTGAAATCATTAGTGATTTTTAAAGACATTAGGTGAAAATGAAAGCATAAACTTTAGATGGGGCACAGGTGGTGCTACCACCAAGACCCCAGCCCCATTCATGTTAGCAAGTAGCAAATGTCATGTTAGCAAGTTTCCAAAGTTTCAAATCTGACAATTGAAACACAAAATAATACGAAGATAACAGTACAACTAAAACGCGCAATGGAAATAGATACCAAACATTAGCTGCTAAATAATGCAGTAAGGTGACACTGGATTTGTCATAGTAAGATCAATTATCATGTTCTAGATTCCACTGTTGTCTAAGCTTTTAGGACCTCCTGACACTGAAATGTAGAGAAACCTGACTATGATTGTGGCATAGAAGTACTTTATATGGCCATGCTACATTTGTGCTACTGCAAATCAGTTTGCATTTAGCCTATAGCTGAATATTCCAAGCAGGAGAGGTAGAGAAGGGACCACAAAATACTTTCCCTCGCCTAGCTGCATTTGCGTTATGCTGATTGATTAAACCAGTGAGATGCTAGTGAAACACTTACAAGCTGCTCTAAATTCACTTTTGGGCCAAGAAGGAATTTAGGGATGTTGAGCATGCCTTGTTCTTCATATCTTATCTCGATTATGGGTCCAGATGACTTAGATCTGACTCTTGTCCAGATGCAAGTCATTTGGAACCCACATGGGTCTAGGTCTGGGTAGGGTCCGGGTCCATGTAAAACTTAGTTGGGTTAGGTCCCGGTCGGGGTCAACCCAGACCCGACCCAACCCGTTGCCACCCTACCTTTCGCATTAAATGTTAAGAATTAAGAAATTCTCATAATTAGGATCTCGTTTCTATCCCACATATCAAAACCTATTTGTTTAGATATCGTTTTCTATATATATCTTTTTTTTTGACAAGGGTATGATATATTATTAGATGAATTGAGCAACTACAAAAAAGCATGAAATGCTTACAATAGAGATTGAGAAAGAACTAAAGAGTCTAGAGTACCTCATTTCTTGGCTAAATCATCAGCATTGACATTAACCTCATGATAAACATGATGAAAACTCACAATGCCAGACGAAACCTGCATGAAACAATTGTTCTTTTCTAAGTAAGCCTAATTCCAAAACCTTGCGTTGCTTCTGCCAACTTCTCATAGAACTGAATAGGATATTTGACAATTCAATTAAATGCTTTTTATGGTGCACCACCATTTACGTTTATTAAATAAAGGTGTTTATAAGAGTTTGGTGAGTAATGTCAAGGGACAATGCATCTTTTAGACTCTTGCTTGATGAATATCACTTTAGTAAAATGCAGGATACTTGCAAGCCATACTTCTCAAAATTATCTAAAAACAACATTATTGGAATGCTCAAAGTAATATTTAAAACAGATCAATGGTTCAGATTGGAATCGTCGGATCCAACTGGAACCAGCCGATTGCTAGTTCAGGATGGGCTCTAAGTGGTGAACCACTTTGCATCTTTTGTCGATTGACTTCAAGTATGAAATGCAGATGTTTAAAAATTGTCATGCATGCAAATCTCAAAACCCTAATCTTTTGGAATAAAAAAGGAATCACTCTCTAGTCATTTAATGTGAAATCAGACGGTTGGGGGTATTTAAGTGACCATAATTAAAATGTAAAAAAAAAAATCTCAGGGACCTTCAGTAGGGTCTTGCATACCCCAAGCTATCCAATTTCTCATATGACTTTTAGGTAATTACGACCATCTTGTACTAAAGATAAATTGCCTTATATTGTACCATCAGAAAAAAGATACATAAAAAAGAAAAACTGCAAAAATGGTCTAATGTTGATTTTCAATAGTCCACCATTTAGTATCAGTACTCATATTTGTTAAAGTGATGTGATGTAATTTACACGACTCATTCAAGTTTAGATGAGAGCTTGATTAGTTTTGATTTTCATGGGTGAGCTTTTTATATATGTCCATACTCACATAATTTACATGTGTCTAGAAACATCCAACAATCCATATTTTTATCAAATGGCAAGAGTAATATGATAATAATATTTTTATTATCACGCATTAATTGTGACCTGACAAATTCAGTTAGTGATAACTTATAATATTATTTATGACTCAGTCCTAGCCAAACGATCAATTAAAATAAGATAGTTGTGGGTATAGAAACACATCAAAGTTCCTCCTTTTTAACGGTTGGCAACAATTTAGATCGTTGTACATATGAGGTAGTTGTGGCAATGGGCCAGGCCTAGGCCTAGTTGGAGTTGGCCCAAGCCTAACCCAAACCCATTCATTACTGAGATTGGGATGTGAAACTGAATGTTGGGGTGGTACCATTAATCGCAGTCAAAGTCATCAAATTTTGAATAGAGGGATGACACATCTCAGTAATCTACTTTCACATATGACAGTTTCAGGTGCCGTTATTTTGCGTTAGGAATGGTAATGGACTCATTGTTTCATCATTGTCAAATCCTTCTTCCAATTAATTCAGGTTAGCTACACGAATCTAGATTCGTCATTTTACTTTATTAGGGGGCATACCCTTAGTGACACTATAAGTCCTCATATCTTTTCTTACTACTTCCAATCATGTCCTTTTGGGTCTATCGCTTGCCCTTTTTAAGCCTTTCACTTGAACTAAGTCACACTTCCTAATATGTAGTTGAACTGGGTCTGCGCCCCACATGGCCGCAAAAGAATTTGTCGAACCTTGCGGAGGAACCCTTAGGATTTCGAGGCATTGGATTCTCACCAATGTTTGCATTACTCAAGCAGACATTCTCGCTTCCGCTTCGTCCACACCTGCTCGTAAACCTAAGAATTGTGTTTTACCAAAATTATATATTATGATAAAATTTAAAAGTGTGCCTTAATTGGATTGTTTAAGGTTGTATGTGAGACGTTTTATTTATTTTATTTATTTACAAATTAGTTTCAAGGATTTGGGTAGGTTTATTTATTATTTTGGATAGGTGTTCAATTTTTATTTATTAGGATTAACTTATATTTTTAGATTTCTTTAGTAGTTAATTTCTTATTTTGTGGTGAACCTCTATATGGGAGTAGATCACGTGGGATTCTATATGGGTTGGACGAAATCAAAAAGGTTACATGATTTAAGAAAAGAAGGATGGGTAGGACGTTGGGTCTTGTATGAGATGTGCACTGGTGAAAGAAAGTCATACAAAAGAAGAAGATCTAAGAAAAAAAATAGGAAATGGGATGTGCACAGGTGAGAAAAAAGTCCTACAAAAAAAAGGATCTAGGGGAGAAGAAAGGAAAATTTGAAAAGGGGATCTAGAGAGAGATTAACTTGGGGGAGAGAGAGAGGTTGACGTGAGAGGGAGAGAGACAATTATATATTTTTTGTTTAGTTTTTCTTTTTTTCTTTTTGAAGTTTGTATTAAAAGAGGGGGACAACCCTATAGAGACGAGATTGGATATTTTGTAGAGAGATTTTTATGAATGAAGAAATAGAGTTTCTTCTTCCCATGGTTTGATTTACAGCCATAATATTCCTCTATTATTGTTGAATTTTTTATTGTTTACGATCGAAAGAAAGCCGGATTTAATTTCCTAAACTCCTTTTGCATCCAATTTCCTAGACTCCTTTTGCGTCACTTGATATCAGAGCTATGGTCGTGGAGGTCGCAACCATAGGAATTCCGAGCATTGATAACTTGACGAAGATGGTTGAAAAGTTGTTGCACAAAAAAAGATTGTAACTACGCACATCGAACAAGATGAGATCTACGGTGTTAGATGAAACCATAGGAATTTTGAGCATTACCAAATATACAAGAAAATTGACAACTTGACAGAGATGGTTGAAAAGTTGTTGTACAAAGAAAGATTGCAACAACACACATCGAACAAGATGAGATCTACGGTGTTAGATCCATATTGTGCAAGTTCTAGTGGAGATCGGCATAGATCAGAGCATGAGTCTGAGTGGGAATGGCCTGATATTACATTTCATCACACGTATGGGTTCAATGCATGACAGCATCGACAGAAGCACGAATGCAGAGAAAAATTGGGCAACCGACAACCCCAAAGCCGATGTTATTGGCGTAGGGGATTAAACCAAAATTTGTGTCGAGACGGCAGATGAATAATCTTACTACATCCAGATTGACCTTTGGAGCAGGATCCTCGCAAAGAAATCCCTAAATTTGTCATTAGAGGTTGATACGTTGGAAGGTACAAAAAGCCCTAAATGTAATAAAAAATGATAGATGTATTTATAGTTCAATCTGTTGAAAGAGAAGAGAAATTATGGATATGCCTAGCCATTTTATTGATAAAAGAACGGATGCTTTTGAATTTGACAATGACGAAATTCATCATTACATCAATCAGAAGTAAATGTTAACTTTTAACATTATTTCTGTCGAATAAAATGTTGAATTTGCAAGTGATTCACTCTTAATGAACAAGGAAGAGCAATCCATGACTGTAATCAAGGGGGATTTGGGCTTGGATGAGAAAGCAGGGATAGTGATTTCTGATCAAATTAGATTATTGATGGTTAGACATTAACTATCTTTGTTACCATTAAATGATGAGACTCCACCTGAATCTTTTAAAGATGAGGATATGGCTTGATTCTCTATTCAACAACTTATAAAGAAAAAAGTTGATGATATCTCGATTGTAGTTTATGATATGGTGCCAGTGGCAAAAATTAGGGAAAATATCTTCATATCCATTATTTTTAGGTTTCATTTCTTGATAAATCCAAGGTTTCAAAAGAATATCTTCTAACCCCCTTGCCACTTTAAATCTATTTGTTAACCTAAACAAATGTGAGAAAGACATATTATTTCTAAACTCAATCATTACTCTCTCTTTAGTTATATACCCCAAATTTCTCTCTTTCTCTCTCTTCTTGTGTCTCTCTCACTCTCTCTCTCCTCTTGTATTTCTCCAAACACCTCTCTCTCTCCTCTCGATAACATGTCACCTTCGTGAAGCCCTTCTGTCTCTCTCTAGAAGTTTGGGAGGATGGCTTTTAGAAAAGGCATATCTTTTTAGATTTGTTTGGCCTAAAAAAAACAGGTTTAAATTAGTTTAGGGGGTTAGAATAAATAAAATCTATAATTTTTATGCCCCAAGATATCTTTTAAAACCTTGGGTCTATTGTGAAATAAAACCTAAAAATATAGGGTATGGAATATTTTCCCAAAAAATTATGTGCGAATTGAAGATGTTCAGAAGATGTGATGAGAATTATGGTATGAACATGGAGAGTCGTGACTGGTTGCCTGTTATAAAAAAACTTAACCATGATGTGTGGAATGGTTATGATAATTTGGATGGTTTAGTCGTCTATTGGAACCATTTCATAATTGGTATAAAATCTTTGAAGTATGGTTTCAACAACATCATTTAGTGTGGCATATGCTTATTAATATTGTTGATTTGGGATGTTCAAGAGATGTGAGAATGATAATTTGTTGTAGGAGCATGTTGACTTTTAGCCAATGCACTAGAATTAGATTTGATATTAATTACTAGAAGAAAAAAAAGCCTCCTAATCAAGTATGGAAACCATCTGATGGCATTTGGTCTATGAAAGAAGTTATTAAATTATTTGAGGGTTTTATTAAAGGGAAAATATCCTATTATCCCTTATTTTTAACTTCTATATCTCATCTGACCTAAGAATTAAAAATATTACTTGTAAACAAAATAACTCCATCTTTTCTATCTTTCAACTCCCTAAACCCTTTTTACCATGTATTATTGACCTCAACAACTTATGAAATGACTCTAACTCTCTCTCTCTAAACTTCATCTCTCTCTCACATCATCGTCTCTCTCTCTCAAAACTCCATCTCTCTCTAAAACCCAAACTCCATCTCTCTCTAAAACCCAAACTCCATCTCTCTCCTTAAAACTCAAACTCTCTCTCTCTAAAACTCCCTCTCTCTCTAAAACCCAAACTCCATACCTCTCTCTCTTGTCAACGTTATATTATTCAAGTAAGGTACACCTCAAAACTATGCCAACAATGCAGTTTCAGTGCCCAAAGCCTTGCAATGATATGAAAATCTATTGTTGCCCCCAATTATAAAATTTAAAATTCTAAAAATAGTGATGATCAAGCAAATCTATAAACACTTGAAAATCTAGAAGATGAATGGTCTAGATAATGTGTTAGAAGATCAACTATTAATTATTTTTAGGACTAGAAATCCTATATATGTATATATATATATTGAGGGAACCAGTTCAGCTGGGACAATTTTCTATTCAGATCGATCGATTTTGCTACAAATTGGCAATTTTTAAAGCCTTAATGCCAACTGATGGGGATCGTTGCTTTGTTCAAACAACAATTGAATAGAAAATAATTGATTAAGAAAAACAAAAGTGTTCAGTAATGTTAAAATTTATATGGGTTAAGAAATGGATAACTTATTTTCTTGGGCTTTTTTATTTTAGTTTTCCAACTTGATCGATACTATTAACATCTAATAGCAATTTTTTCAATTTTTCAAGTTTTGGTTATTTCTATGGCAGTACAAAATTACCAAATCAAATGGCCCCATGTACAAATTTTAGCCAAGAATAGAGCAGTACTATATTAACAACTTCAAACTACTCCATACTTAAAAAAATTAAGTATGAAGCATTTCTATACGAACAATATTGAACCGCTTCATGCTTGAAAATGTTTCAAAGTATGGAGTGGTTCAATGTTCCTAATATAGATCCGTCCTCCTCTTGACCAAAAGCCATGCATGGGGTGGTTAGAAGTTGCTATGTCGAGCCACCCCAAACACGTGACGGTTCAATTATTGTAGTTTCAACAATAGAGATAACTAAAAATTCAAAACTTCAAAAAAAAACAAAGACGTGGTTTGATGACTTGGAAGAGATAACTAAAAATTCAAAACTTCAAAAAAACAACAAAGAGGTGGTTTGATGACTTGGAGGCAACAATAAAATAGGACCTCAACATAAAATTACCTAAAATATTGGACCAAGCCGTAATAACACAAATATCTTCAGTTCTACACATAAATTTTTTTTTAAAAAAAAACATGTATTAATTGTCCTATTAGTTGGACCGGTCAAACACAAGTTTTAACAGTATTTTGGGTTTTATCAGGATTTTCGACCAAAAGAATCCCCATCTCCACCTTTCACTATACCAACAAAAACTCTTGGTAGTCTTTCATGTCTTACCAATGTTTCGTCTCACTCCTTGGACCTTTCTCTCGCCACCATCTCCATCAACAACTCATTCCATGCATCGACCGGACCAGGCAAGCACCAATGAATACAGTCATTGAATGCTTCCATCTCTGGCCCGTGCCAGTGCTCGTTAGGGTGTCCATCTGGCCTCACCATCATGGCCTTTGTTACGTCCAAAACCTTAATTCTTTTGTCCCTGCTTACTTTGCTTACTTTCTTTACCTCATGCACCTGAATTTCCCTCACCTCTAACTCGAAAGCACTCTCGCTAACCCCTTCTGGACCCAATGGCTCTGTCCTATTGCACCGCCCCCCTTCATTCCATGAACCGTGCTCGAAGTGAGCTGGCGAGAAAGTCCTCACAAAATACAGGCCTTTGCATTCATCGCACTCTTTCAAAGCTCTTAAAGCGCTATGAAAAGCCTTTCGAAGGGCAAAAGCTAACCCTAAATCTTTGAGCTTTCGTTTGTTGCTGTCACAATAGAGACAACCAATCGGGTGACCAGACTCGTAGAATGTGGACGGTCGGAAGAACCAGTGGGCATCAGAGATTACTGCAACATCATATTGGGCGATCGAACGTGTCCAGTTTGCATCGGGGCGGTCGAGGTGGATGTTGAATTCACCAGAAGGAAGGCCGTTTCTGATAATTTCATCGGCGTGGACAAGAAATTTGGTCCAGAAGACAGCGAGGACGAAATTGTGGGAGGGGAAGTGCCATCGCCGGAACCTGTCGTCGTGGTCGTGGTAGATGTCAGTTGGGGTCTCAACCTGGAGGTGTTACAGCAAGGATCTTGTTATATTTGAAAGTGAAGGAGATAGAGAAAGCTATGCTCTTTCAAAATCAGAAGGGCAGGTACAGATACTGAACATGCTCAAAATTCACCTTTTTGAAAGATTAATGAGTCAAAAAAATTGTAAATTCAACTTTTTAATAGGAAAATGGATTTCGAGGAAAGGTGTTATATTGCTCATTTTCAATACGCAAAGGTGCGTCAAATGGAGACATTTGCTTTACATTGATTGTGCAATATAAACCATTTATAGTGCTCATTTTCAATTGAGGACCTTTATAAAATTAAAGTCCACGTACTTGTTTTGTTTACGAGGATTTAATTTCATATATTCAAGATCTAAAGTCAAATGTGACTCTTGGATCTTGGGGACTTTAATCACATTTAACTTTGTATATAGAAGCATGTCCGTAAATCTTTAAAATCCGAAATTATAAAATGGCTTTGTCACTTCATATCTTGAAGATCCAAAGTAAGTGGAATTTTCAAAATAAAAAAAAAGAAGTATACATCGGGGGAAGGGGGAAAAGAGGGGTGACGAGGGTGGGTTCTTTAATAATGTTAATTTGAAGGGATATCAGCACAAATTTCCCTATTAAGCTCTAATCGAGGGCAGTAGAGATTATTTGTCTAAACAAACAACGGCAATTGGTTGTCAAAGGTAGCATCAACTGCCCGTTATCTAAGTAGATGGTGGATGCGATTATGATGTAACATGTAGCATATGCCATCGGTGCATGGCAATGGCCCATATGCCTCCCGCGGGCTATATTGTACATTTACACACTTCAGTATAACTCCACGTAGGATAAATTTTAGAACCCCAAATTTTAGTGATGTAACCTGCCATAGATTGACATCAATAAAACATTTTTCCTAATTGTACCTTCTATCCAAGTGAAAAAACATAATTTTTCAAGTTTGAATAGATAACGTCAATTATTAGAAAAAAATAATTTTTCAAGTTTGAATAGATAACGTCAATTATTAGAATGTGAGATCAAAATGTTAGAAAACTCAAATTTTCATTTTTCTTTTTTTCTTTTAAAACTAATTATCTAGTGATTATTAAGTAGCTCCCAAAATTTCAAATTGAAAAAATCTTCCCAAATAGGTCTTCTAACCGAGGGAGTAGATATATCCATCGGAGCATAGTATAGATGCTCTTGTTATAAAAAGATAATAAAAATTTCTCTTATGCCTCCCCTAGCTTACAGTTCCAAAAATGGCCACCCGCCATTATCTAGTGCCATGAAGAGAGAGAAAAAAAAGGCCTCAACTAGTAATTCTGAATAATTTTATCCTTTGAATTGATATACATTAAATAGTATTATTTTATTAACTATTTGGTACATATTATGTATTTCTAGTTATTTCTAATTAAAATGTGTGATTTTCAGCAAATGATGATAAATAAAGTAAATCAACTTTTTTAAAAAATAATATTATATACAAAACTACCTAAAAGATTATCTCAGATAATTTTATGAGGGATAATGCCAAACAAGATATAATTCATCGTCAAGTTTAATTTTTCTGTAACAAACCCCTGGTCATTTCCTAAGTATTTGACGCAAGAGCGTCTACACTTTTAAAGGGAGAATATTGTAAATTTACTATCTCCAGTGCAAGGGAGAAATTTATTCAATCCAAAAGCTTGGGATCCACCAAGTAATAACTAGGTTATTATTTTGAAAAGAAATTAGATTTTGAGTTTATTAAGTACTTAGATTTGACAGTAAAAGAATTGGATGATCTCTTTTAATTTTAGGATGATATTTTGTGCGGCACACTAAGAGTGTATTTTGTTCTTTTATTTTTTCTTCAGGTTAATCTGTTCAAGTAGAGAATTTACTTATGGACCCGGTTTCTATGAGGCCAGGCCCGCATATGTAGAAATGCGGGCATGTTAATAAATCTAGTTTTGAGATGGATTTTAAGACTTAATTTTAAGGACATGTAATCTCTAGCATGGAGATCATGACTATATATATAGATATATAGATATATATAATTAAAATTAAAATAATAATTGTAGTAAGAAAACATTTGGACCGTTAATTTCTATTGTTTTTAAATGGAGCACCTACTTGCATCCATATTCAACATAGATGCTTTACACTTTTTGGACCGCATAAGTAGAAATGCAGTCCAGCCCACATGAAACAATTTTCCTTTACTTATTGATCCAATATAGAATGATTCATATTTTTGGAAAATTGATGTTGAATACTCTTGAGTCTTTTACTTCTCATTTTACCTTTATTTTTAAAATTCCAGCATTTGAACCACCCAAAAACTAAAAATAAAAATTAAAAATTAAAATAAATAAATAAGAAGAAGAGTATTTTGGGTGGTTTGCTCTTTGGAGCCTCTCAAACACCTAATTTTTTGTGTTTTGGGTGACTGAGTGGTGCACTTTTTGAACAATCCAAAAACTCAAATTTTCTTTTTCTTTCTTCTTTGAATGATCAAAAACTCAATTTCTTGCCTTTTACACAATTCAAAGCTGAACTTTGCAAAGGGAATGAATAAAAATTTGAAAGACTCAAAAAATTGAGATTCACCTTAAAATGTTCCAAAAAATGGATCATTATTTAGTGAAAATAATTTAAATAAGATGTCAACTTTATACTATTGAAGTAACGTATACCTTAAAAAACTTCTAGAAGAGAGTGTTCCGATATTGAAGGAACCTTCAATCTCATCATCTTGACCTCAAGATATGTGGATATAATGAAAAAAAGAATTTCAATTCCTAAATATACTCCATCTTATAACCAATCATTTAAACAGTTTATTTTCAAGAATTTAAAAGTGTTTATTTTCAAGAATTTAAAAGTGTCAATGGATCTGCTTGATATGTAACTGTGCACCATTTTTAGTATTTTAAATGACGTAGCTCGAGATGAAAATAGACTTTAAGTCACCAGCACGGCATAAGGGAGGCAACGGGACTTGGACCCAGACTCGGACCCAGACCTCAACCAAAATATGGTGTGGGACTTGGACTCGGATTAAGACCCAGACCTGACTAGACTCGACCCAAAACTTAAAATATTTATGTATTTAAAATATATTTTACATAGTGAGACCCGGATCCAACTGGACCCGAACCCAATCCCAGACCCAAATATTGTTCGGGTCCAAGATTTGGACCCGGGCCCAACCCCGTAGAGTCAAATTTTTGGACCCATATCGAGAACCCGGATGCGGATCAGATCTAGCCCTCGAATCTCGGGTCGGGTCCACTTCTGGGTCCATTTAAGTCCCCGAGATTTGATACTACGCGTGGGTTGGGCTTTACGTGGGAACCTACAATCTTTTGACTTGAAAAAAAACCGCACTTCAGCTGTAAACGTCCGAGTCCATATATTCGACAAAGAAACGCCAAAAGCCGGGAAACGCGGGCTTCTTTTTGTTATTTTCCGTGCATCTTCTTCTCCTTTCTACTATTCTAATGAATATGAATCCTTATTAAACATTTAGAGAGAGAGAGAGAGAGAGAGAGAAAGAGCATAGGATATTTTAAAGAGAGAGACTTCTTGTTTCTCGATGCAACCAAAGTCAGTGGAATTGAGGGAGCTTTCCTTTTATTCTTTTAGCTTCCCAAAATAACGCACTAATCTCTCAAAAGAAGGAGAATTAAAGGAAAAAAAAAAAAGAAACCGAAAAAAAAAAGCTATCTCGGATCTCCTCAAAAGCTCTTTTTTTAATGTATCGAATACTTTTCCCTTATTCATTTGATTAATACTTTTTCTTATTCATTTGATGCTTAGTTAAATCACAGGACCTATATCCATATCTTAAAAGACACATTCACCTTGGGATTCATAAAAGGAAAAAGTTTACATAAAATTCTCCCACTTTTCAATTTCTTCAAAACATTTTGGATTTTTCATTCTTGTCATTCAAAATCGCAAAATGCAGGTTCCATTAAAACTGTACTCAGTTCTTGTTTCATGCAATTCATAAAGGAATAAAAGCAGATAGATACAGAGAGAGTGACGAATGCTCAAACCTGAGAAAGCAAGCATAGAAGGGACTCCATCTGGTTTCTTGCAACTGAATCTCCTACGAATACGAGCTTTTTATGGCGAAAAAGATTCAGAAATCTTTTGGGGTCGAACCTCGGGAGCTCACAACTATCTGGTTTCCACCTCCATTTCATATAATCTGTATCAATCCTCCCATGTTTCCCACAATTCTTTGAGTCTGGCAACGTTGGGCACGTCGAATTTGTATAGATGGGGCCTTCTAGATCCCAAACCCAGCCCCCCGAAAATAAGTCACAGCTATCTTCTGCACCAAACAACAAGAAACAATAGATTGATACACATGAAACAGAAGAATATGTCGAATTCTTACATTCTCACAAGATCTCAACTGGTTTCTTAGTGTTTTCGACTTACCCACTTTAGGGATTACAAGAATTTGATGGTGGGAAGGCCTAGTAAAGAACAGCTGCTTATATATTGGCACAGGAGAAGAGAGAAGAAACAGAGCCAAAAAAATGCAGAAGGGGAGAACCATCAAGAAATAGATGGTTTTGGTGGGATTGTTGCCACAAAACTTCTTGCAAGGATGGAATTCAAAGCTTGAGGATTTCATGCTTGCATGAGAGAGAGAGAGAGAGAGAGAGAGAGAGAGAGAGAGAGAGAGAGAGAGACGAGAGAGAGAGACGCCTCCTGTCGACTACTCTTCTTCGACGACGTCTTACGTTGTTACGTTACTAACTACTAGTAGAACGACGAAGGAAGGAAGAAAGAAAACGAACCTAACTAC